TGAGAAATTATTTCTGATTTCCTTTTTTCCAGATCCCCTTTTGTTGCCAGTTGAGTGGGTCCAGGTGGTTGAGTATCAGAGTGTTCCATCTCATTTCCCTTTTGGGTTGCTGTAGGTGATCTGTAAATCTTGTTTTGAGACTTATTTATGTGTTTTCTCATTTCAACTGGGCCAGGGGGCTGTTAGCGCCTGCATGGATTACCTCCTCTGAGCTGGGTGAGGTGGGCCAGTGGCCAGGAACAGCAGTAGGTATGATGACCCAAAAGCCCTTTCCTGTATGCTGTGAGCAGTGGGAGGGATGGTGGCCGGGAAACCCCTTCCTCTGGACCAGGAGCAGTGGGACGACGGCTCAGAAGCCCCTACCTCTGGGGCGGGAACAGTGGGACTCAGTACCTTGGTCTGGTGGTCTGGTGTCTTCTGTGTCTTTGTAGTGTGGAACCAGGTGGCTGCCTGTCTGCAGCGGGGTGACTCAGTGTCTTCTGCGCCACTCAGGACCTGGGTAGGGCATGCACAGACCTTCCTGTGTGCAGTGGGCTTATTCGGCATGTTCTGTTTGACTCAGTACCTCGGTAGGGCATCTGTCATCATTCTTTTTGATTTGGAGCCTTTGCACTCTTTTCTTCAAGATCTTAATAGTTATTAATATATAATGTATGAACTATGGTCATCTCCTTGTGCTGTGGATCACCAGAACTTGTTTCTTTTATTTAACTGTGTTTTGATATCCGTTTTTCAATCTTCCTTTATCTACTCTCATCTTCTTTCTCCATTTTTTAAATTAAAAAGTGTAATGTGAATAAAACATACACAAAAGTACAGAGACTAATGTAACAAATCTTTATTTGCCCATAACCCACCAGTGGTTACAATCTAGACCTAGGTATTCATCAGAGGTTGCAAAGTGATGATATTCTGTTATTTTCCATTTTGTTTATTAGCTGAAATACATATAACTGGTTACTGTTCAAATCATGGTACAGTTCATACAGATGTGGCCAGCTAAATGCTTGGGTATTTACTTTTTATTGGTTTACAAATAAGACATTATTGCTTAGAATCCTCCAATAGGTCAATGATTTTTAAAAAAATACCACCAAAAATTCATGGAGTTAAAAGTATTATGTGTGTTTCAATCAGTATTCTTGTCGCTGCCCAACATATTCAATTCTTGGTAGTTAGGAGAATTTTTGACTTAGTTCCTGAATCCTTTTTATACAAACTCAGGAATCTTAGATTCCTTTGTTGCTTTCTGATATAATATGTTCACCATTATCCTTACCATTTACTTATTTTTAAAAGCTGAGGAAACTGAAGGAAACTTTATATAGGTTAATAACATGGTCAAGGTTTTATGGCTAGTAAAATTTTGGGCCAGACATTAATTTTCTCAGATTAATTTCCTTCCAAAACTTCTGGTAAGGTATCCATTAAAAACTCTTCTATAAAATCAGTTCTTATTTAGCATTCCTTCATTAGTTTTTGAAAATTCTGCTTTAAGGACAAAAATAACTTAAAACTTTTTTGCATATACTTTCTTATGCATACATCAAAAAGCCTACACATAACTTTACCTGCTTTTTAAATTTTTAGTTTAAGATAAACTTTGTCCTTCTAGGATTAACTGCTTTAATTTTATCTCTATATCAACTCTTATCCAGGATGTTATCTTTTTTACTTTCAAGAATCTATAGTTCCTCTGTGGATTGTTTGTATCTGTCTTATCTCCTTTCATCTTATGGATTAACAAAGAAAAATCAAAATAAACTGGATAAGACTAAAATATATGGCTTTATCCTTTTCACCCTTGAGAGTTACTCCTTCTGGATATTTGGTCTGTACATTCCCCCATTGTAGTTGTTCTTATATACATTACATTAGATGTACAGTAGAATCAGGTTTTAAAAAACATGTGTCTCTATCTTCTGGGTGGTAGGTGGACTCACTTGTGTACTTTTAGATTTTTTTTTCTAGTGACAGTAATGCCACATGTAATTGAAACTACTATTATGGAAACTCTTTGAGAGTTTTTTCCTCATCAGTGATAACTTTATCTGCTGCACTTACATATCACTTTTGAACTCAAGTTTAATGTGTACCTCATTAACATTTTAAAATCTCAGAGGAAATTTTTGAAAAGTGTATGTTTCAGAAAAATATAAAGAATAATGTAGCAAATATCTGTATATGCAAAATACAGAACTTTGTATGTGTGTGTGTGTGTGTGCGTGTTGAGTGCAAGACATACCTTTACCTCCCTGGCTAACTCCAGTAATAAAACCAAGTCTCTAGTTTCTCCCTGGAAGGAGTTTTTCCACACTCTTGAGTGCCCCTACTTTTCTATCTCCTGCCTGAGGAACTGGCTCCTAAATCATCTAGCTGTGAGAGTTGACAGGGTTCTGAATTCATGAATCCCTCAATACGACCGAGAACAAAGAGGTTGGTTTAAACAGGACCATGAGCACTTCTAGTAACTACCCTTTGGGTTCAGCATAAAGTGAGCAGACAGAAACTCCCAGATTCAAGTTTCTTTCTGGAAATGTTTTGTCTGCAGACTTTCCAAACTTTTGCCTAAGAGTTTACCTTGTAACTAACCTATATCTGGGAACTGAGGGCACCAGGTAATTAGTAGACCTGTAGGGCACATAACCTGATGTATAGCTGAGATGTGCAATCAGCCTAGATGCTCATCAATGTATGAACAAAGAAAATGTGGTATAAATGCATAATAGAATATATTTAGAGGTAAAAATGATATGCTATTGATCACAACAATACAGATGAACCTGAAGAATGTTAGATTGGAATAAGCCAGACACAAAAAGACACACAGTACATGACCTCACTCTATTGTTTTTTTTTTTTTTTTTAGTTTTTAGTTTTTCAATTTTATTTTATTGGTACATTTTAGGTATACAATATAATATTCATCATTGAAAATTTGCGCCTTTACATAATTTCTCTTGGTTCTTATTTTTCCCCCTTCTCCTGCCTCCATTCATCACCTCCATCCCTCCCTATTTACAAAACTTTGTTTCCATTATTTTATTTTCTCATATTAATGCCATTCTCTTCTTTCCTGTCCCCTACGCCTCCCACTTCCCCTCCCCTTTTGCCCCTTTTCTTCCTATTTCACATTATCTATTATGTCTTTTAGTCCTTGTTTACATTTTCAGTTTCTCACACTAGGGAAATTATTCTTTATTTATACATGTGTGACCTATTTAATTCACTTAAGAGTATCACCTCAATGTGCATCCATTTAGCTATTCAAGTTTTTAGTTTCTCATTTTTTATGGCTGAGCAGTACTCCATTTAATTAAAAAAACCACATTTTCATTATCCAGTTTCCAGTTGATGAGCAATTCGGCTGCTTCCAAGTTTTAGCTATTACAAATTGTGCTGCTATGAACA